AAGCAGTCACACAGAACCAATCAGCCTTGCCTCACTGTTCCCTCAAGTCTTAGCAAGCTCCTTTCAGCAGTAAGCAAGACAAGGATCAACACCTCAGCAACAGACAGAATGTAACATGCTGCTATCGACCTTTCATAATAAGAAATGATCTTGCTCTCTTTGGGCCAAAAGTTTAACAACTTTATTTGCACTGACATCACAGATTCAATTTTTTTGTTTGCCTTAGTATATATGCCACTGTCCCTCCAGTCCCAGACCTATTGTGTCACTGTCCCTCTAGTCCAGAACCTATTAAAAGGATTCTCAGAAAATGGTTTCCAAGCTTCAGCAACCAAGAGTGCTCTTATCTACACAATATACATGCAAATTAACCCCTTTAAATTTAGACAATTGGGTCAGAGAGGCCACTAAAATTGAAAACTCTTCAAGAAAGTATAAATAGATATCTTACTTCTTATTCTTAATCCTAGCCCGTGCAAACAGCTTTGAATACCACCTACATAGGCAGGAGAAAACACATCTAAATCAAAAGCTACTCAGAAATGTAGAGAGGAAGAAATCAGAAAGGACAACCCCAAACTTGGCTATACATTTTAGAATAAAAGGTGAAGCGTGTGTTACACACAGAGGAAGGTGAAAACATGAACACAATGAAGCCAATGATGAAAGAAGAATAAAAAGAGATGTTGGCCACATAAATTTCAGTCTATGCTTTAATGAAGACTTCAAGATCGTTTCTGTTAATTTTGTTTTGTTTTGTTTTGATGTCTATGATAGGAGAAATAAAGTATCTTCATGGCATAAATGCTCATCTGCCCAAATTTCTCCTATGGAAAATGTTCTCTAATTGAATGTCCAACTTGGGTGCACTGCCCCAAGATTTACTGCTGAATTACCTAGTCCTGAACACAGAATACAACTCTAGCACAAAGGAAGATGGCTGTCACATGATTCTGGCCCTGAAACCTCCCCAAAAGCAACAACTGCCAGTGCACGTCTCCAAAACTAAAAGAGTATGTCCCAAACCATGTATACTGCAACATCAAAAGAAAGATCATAAGTGTATCCACAATTGCTTTCTCAGTTGTGTTTACTAACAAGAGAACAAAGAAACTTTTAAAAATCAAACTCAGCAGAAGGCAAGGATGGAGACAAGGATCCAGGTAAAACTGGGGATTATGGAAGCCTAACGTGAACAGTCTACTTTTGAAAGGAAAGATTCCCTTCTTCAAGAAAAAAAAGCAGCAGCTAGTAAAATCAGGTAGGCCAAGTACACTAAAAAAAAACTTCCTCTAATTAAGTCTGGATACAGCATAGGCCTAAGTATATGGTTGCCAACAAACACCTAAAAAGGTTCTTAGCAGGGGGCATACTCAGACCTACAAAATCTAGGACCTCTACCCTAAAAACAGCTTTAATTTTTTGAAAAAAGCAGCAATTCAGACTGCCAGTTACAAGGTTTATTTTAACATGCTTCTCCAGAACACCTTTGGGCAACACTGGCGCTGGGGTATACACAATTTCTGGAATTGAGCATAATTAAAGAAACATTTGACTTTTTTTTAGTGTAAAGCACATATCAAGCTCCCTCTCTACCACAAAAGAATAAAAAAATTCATGAATATATCTATACATTTGCTTCTCTAAGTAGGGAAGTAACTCCTTCAATGAGTAATATATATAGTATCAAAAGCAAACTCATGCGGAAGGGTGCCGACAACTATAAGCCATCTGAGTCCCACTGTTTAACTCACTTAATTTACTTAAAACCATTTACAGAGAGGAGAGACAGGTTAGATTTTACTTCTCCTTTGCCTTATCATGAACATCTAAAGCAGTAAAAACTGAATCAGATCGTAAGAACAGTACCTTCCAGAAGTAGTACTATTACTTTAATTAGGTCAAAGGTATACATATGCAGAAGAAAGCTGCTCTAAAATGAAACCAAGAAAAAAATTTAGTTCAGAAAGAATAGGGGCATCTAAATTTAGTCTCTTTTTTGTGAGTCAGGGTCTCACTGCGTTGCCCAGGCTGGAATACAGTGGCACAATCACAGATCACCACAGGTTCGACCTCCTGGGCTCAGGTGATCCTTCCACTTCAGCCACCAGAGTAGCTGGGCGTGTGCCACCACACCCAGCTAATTTTTTGAAGAGGTCTTGCTATATGCCCAGTCTGGTCTTGGTCTCTCAGGTTCAAGCAATCCTCCTGCGTGGGTCTACTAAAGTGTTGGCATTACAGGTGTGAGTCACAATTCCCGGGCTATTTAGCTCTTTTAGCTAAAGAAAGACAAAGATTTTTTAAAGATACAAAATTTCATCAATGAGCACTTTGTATTCCATCAGTTTTAAGGCAAACACAATGTCTTCTTTGGTTTCACAGCCTGATCCTTTTGAATCCAAAGAGTGGGCAGATGAGCAAGGTGGCTGGTGACCTGAAGGAGCTGTGCCCTCTGGGCACTGTATTACAGTAAGCATCCCTGCCCACCTCTTCAGAGGCAATTGAAGGATAATTACCCTCCTCGACTGCACTGGTGCTTTTCTGAGCAATTTTTATTGCCCACGAATTCGTTACAACAGTACCAGCATAATATAATTTAAATGGTTTTCATTTCTTAGCAGTATATGAGAAGCAGGCCAAGCAGACTAAGAACCAAGGGTTTAAAGGGAAGGAGATGCTTTTCCTTCTAAATTTTCACATACAACTCATTCCTAATCATGGTTGCTCTAATCCAATTGACTTAAATTATTTTCTCCCCATGGAACTAAAGTGGTTACTTGAGAGAGGAATTTAATCCAACTTCTTCTATTGCAAGGCAAAGGTTTTTTCATCAGGGGGTAGCTGACTTCAATAAGGGCATTTATGACATCCCAAGGACATCTTTTCAATTAAAAAAAAAAAAGTTAAAAAGATCCCCTCTATGAGACTCCTCTACCCAGAACATTTGGGGACAAGTTCCTGTAGAACAGTATTTCTGACACACAGAGACACAGATCTTGTAGGAATCAGATTAAACCTTATCCACAGAAAATGAAACAAGCAACAAAATTTCACAAGCCTGTTTGTGGACCCAAGTTAAGAATTTCTAGCCTAAAGCGTGAAACTATAGGATCTACCCTACAAGAGAGACACTATAAGTCCTCAAGGTCCGAGGAGGAATGGCACCCCTGGGAGTCTAACACAGGACAAGTCTCCCTCCCTTCCTTAACCAGCACAACAGAACACAAGTGCAGGTTTGTACCTAAAGATTCGAGATTCTATTCATTGGCAACCTTGGCTTGGAGATTTCCCTACTGCCTACCAAACTGTCTGAGAACCACCCTGCAGTCAGACGCTACATGTCTAATCTTCTTTCCTCCTCCTCTCCCTTCACAGGTGTCAGACCTGCCCTGTGGTCTGAAAATACTGCTGGACCTCAGGGTATTCCTGCTGCCTTCTCTCCCTCTGTACTTCCCAGGCATTTTCCCCAATAAAATTCACGTACTTTTCATCCTACCTTGGGGTCACTTCTAGGAGGACTCAAACGACATACCTGCATTGCTGCAGTTTTCACAGTACCTTACACAGGGAGATGATGGAAGGGACCTTGGAACCTTAACAGTTCTCACTCCACTATCACATTATAACAGAATAATTTTACCCAAGACAATCTCTTTTTAAACTTGCCTAGTAGAATAAAACCCTAGGAAGCCAATAGGGCAATGCTGCTCTTGTTTCACAGACATCATCAGTCGTTTTGAGATTTCTGCCCTCAGGTCTGAGACAAGACCCACTAATGGTAAAGTGCCAATGATAGAAACAGGTATGCTGGGTCAAATCAGTAAGGCAAGATATGTAAAAGGCCTTACCTTTTGACAAGATCTGAAAATATAGCACTAACTCATGCTAGAAGCATCTTTTGCATTTATATAACTCCAAACACGGAGCTATATATCCATAAACGAGGTCTAAAAAGTGATGACACTACTTGACAGGGAGAAACTAGAGTTAGGTCAAGCAAAAACAAATGAAAGGAAAAACCCTATTCCAAAGTATGAACAGGATATTCATATCTTGTATTCACAAGGCAGATTCCACACAGTATGAGACTCAAAGTGAGTTCTAATGTGTGCCAGTAGCAAATGCTCTATTATTTCAGCATCATAACCCCCATCTCAGTACCAGTTTTAGCTTTTTGTTGAGTAGGTGCGAATCTGAGGTAAATATAAGGGACCATGTCAGAATCCAGTCATGCTGTATCACTTGTCCTAAAACATCTCTGCTCCACAGTGAACACTTAGGGCATGTGTTTTAAAATGACTGCAACAACCTGTCCTGTCCTCCCAGTAGGACATCCAAAGATCAGCATTATTTCTTAATCCACCTGATGATAAAACACTGTTAAAGGAGAAGGAGAAATCTTTTTAACTAGTTTCTCTTAAATTCTTACAGAAAAAAATAACCATATGCTTTGTTTTGCAAGCCCCTCCCCTTCATTCCTGGTTTATGATATTAAGCTCTAAATGACAAAGAAGCCAAGTCCACTTAGTTATTCAACACATCTAAAGCAAATCATAGTCATACTTCAATCTTAACCAAGCATGACAACAAAGCAATTTGAGTAGCTTTCCAAACTACCAAAGCAGCAGCACTACCTTGCATAGGCTGGTGTTAAATCAGCACTTCATAAATCGTGCAGGCTTCTGCCCACTTAGATGATCCCTCTATGCAGAATCGGCAGTTTAACACTGGCTCTCACAAGCATTAAAAATCATCACTCTGCTAACCCAACTCACTGTTCAGATGGGTCTCCTTGAATGCAGCCTTTATTACAACCTCACTGCTGCTTCCTACACTGAAGGAATAGCATGTTTTTTAAGAGTTCTTCTTTCTTGCATTATTATAATCAGGGGGTCTTACACCGACCCCGATGCTGTTACAAAGCACAGTGCTTTATAACAGTAAAGCTTCTGGAAAACCCAAACAAAAGACACGTCATCCGGTGACGTCAGCCTATATACAGTTCTGTGTGGTCGCAGCACATAAGCAAATCCATTCTTGTGCCGATTCTCGGAAAAGCTTTTCAGTAAATGCACTCATGCTGCTCCAGGAGCTCTTCTCTGCAACAAGCCGCCCATCTGCCATCAACAAGTTAAGACAGAGAGAACTAACGGCTGCGGAAAGGAGAGACTGAAGCTTTGATTAACCAGCCGAGCAGTTAAGGGAAGAGAAATTTAATAACTTATATTCAAAACTGATTTAGAGGATCACAGCAGTCACAGAAAATGAAACCAACGCTTTCCAGAGGAATATCCTAAGGAAAAAAAACAACTTACCCTGGTGGATTCAATTTTACTCAGAAAGCCTCGGACACAGAAAACAGGAAACTGGTCAAAGGCTCCTACATGTTAGAGCCTTTTACAGACTCACTGCGTTGAGTCTAACAACCGCGACTGAATGCAGCCTCCAATGTGCTCAGAAGAATGGGTAAGTCTGTGCATTTATATGTCTTGTACAGCCAACAAAGAATCATGCTTTTAAAATAAGCCACTGTTTTATGAGGGAAATCACCATCATATTTTTGGGTTTTGAGGTTTAGGTAAAAGCATATATCGCTGATGACAGGGACATGTTTTATCTTCTTTTTAAATGGTTTAAATTTGTTTCAGTCATGGCAACAAGATTAATTTTTCTGCAGTAAATGGAAAATAAGTTATATGCAGTGAAATCTTTCGCCATACTGTTATGTTGTTTTTTAAATAGCCCATATGTTCTGCTGAAAAATCTCCTATCTTCTTGTTTTCCTTAAATTATATTCTGCAGGCTTACATTTCAAGTGGCCATTAGGGGCCCCTATGCTGGCAGCAATATATGCAATGAGTATGGTTTTAAAAATGCTGCCTGCCCTGGGTATGGCGTGTCCACCCAAATGCCGCTGCGAGAAGCTGCTCTTCTACTGCGACTCTCAGGGCTTCCACTCAGTGCCAAACGCCACAGACAAGGGCTCCCTGGGCCTGTCCCTGAGGCACAATCACATCACAGAGCTTGAAAGAGATCAATTTGCCAGCTTCAGTCAACTTACCTGGCTCCACTTAGATCACAATCAAATTTCAACAGTAAAAGAAGATGCTTTTCAAGGACTATATAAACTTAAGGAATTAATCTTAAGTTCCAACAAAATATTTTATTTGCCAAACACAACTTTTACCCAACTGATTAACCTGCAAAATTTGGACCTGTCTTTTAATCAGCTGTCATCTCTGCACCCAGAGCTCTTCTATGGACTTCGGAAACTGCAGACCTTGCATTTACGTTCCAACTCCCTGCGGACTATCCCAGTACGCCTGTTCTGGGACTGTCGTAGTCTGGAGTTTCTGGATATGAGCACAAACCGTTTGCGAAGTTTGGCTCGCAATGGATTTGCAGGATTAATCAAACTGAGAGAGCTTCACCTAGAGCACAACCAGCTGACGAAGATTAATTTTGCTCATTTCCTACGGCTAAGCAGTCTGCACACGCTCTTCTTACAATGGAACAAAATTAGCAACTTGACGTGTGGGATGGAGTGGACCTGGGGCACTTTAGAAAAGCTAGATCTGACTGGAAATGAAATCAAAGCCATCGACTTGACAGTGTTTGAAACGATGCCTAATCTTAAAATACTCCTCATGGATAACAACAAGTTAAACAGTCTGGATTCCAAGATCTTAAACTCCCTGAGGTCCCTCACAACCGTTGGCCTCTCTGGCAATCTGTGGGAATGCAGTGCCCGAATATGTGCTCTGGCCTCCTGGCTGGGCAGTTTCCAAGGTCGGTGGGAGCATTCCATCCTATGCCACAGTCCTGACCACACCCAAGGAGAGGATATTCTAGATGCAGTCCATGGATTTCAGCTCTGCTGGAATTTATCTACCACTGTCACTGCCATAGCTACAACTTACAAAGATCCGACCACCGAATATACAAAAAGAATAAGCTCATCAAGTTACCATGTGGGAGACAAAGAAATCCCAACTACTGCAGGCATAGCAGTTACTACCGAGGAACACTTTCCTGAACCAGACAATGCCATTTTCACTCAACGGGTAATTACGGGAACAATGGCTTTATTGTTTTCTTTCTTTTTTATTATTTTTATAGTGTTCATCTCCAGGAAGTGCTGCCCTCCCACTTTAAGAAGAATTAGGCAGTGCTCAATGATTCAGAACCACAGGCAGCTCCGATCCCAAACACGACTCCATATGTCAAACATGTCAGACCAAGGACCGTATAATGAATATGAACCCACCCATGAAGGACCCTTCATCATCATTAATGGTTATGGACAGTGCAAGTGTCAGCAGCTGCCATACAAAGAATGTGAAGTATAAAATCTACCCATCATCAAAAATCACATCAGATAAGTAACCTATTTTACATAGTAGAGGCTAAATACATATCTAATTTTTACCAATGGTGACATTAAGCCTAATTTTCCAAACTAAGTGGAGACTTAGTTTTTGAAGTGTTGAAGTATTTTTAATTTTTTAAATGAAACCATATTTTAAGTGTTAAATGAAGCAATGGTCACATTAATTTGCACTCCTGTTGGAAAGTCTAAAAATGCTTACTTCAAAATAAGACATTTCATGTATGTAATTATATACTATCATGTGTAAACATTTACACCAAGGTCTCCATATGCTATTTTTTTCTACTGAAAACAATTTGGAAAGAAGCTATTGAGCAGAAACAGATATGGATCAATACCTGTTTGATCACTGCTCTCCATCCCATGTACCACACTGTCTTGCGGCTTAAAATGAGATTTAGTAAAGTTCTCTTGTATGATAATTTGGTATTTACTCAAATCTTCCATCTACAGCCAGTATGAAAAGTAGAATTTCATGTATGCTGAAGATTGGTAAATATAAACACTCCTCTTTCAGAGTTTTTGCCTGGGTTAGTAGATAATATCAAAGTCCACATGAAATCAGAACCCTTTATGTTATTCTAACAAGATGAATGACTCTTTAATATATTTAAACAATGAATCCAAGTGATTGTGAAAAGATCTCATTACAATGAAATCAATACTAAGTAATTACACCAACTTCTTATCATACACTTCTAGTTTGACTTATAATGAACATGTTGATTTTTGTGACATTTAGGCAACTGTTTGAAACTATTTGTAAATTGCCATTTTACTAATTAATTTACTAAATTCTAGATTTACATTTTTATTTGGAAAAAAATTAGAAATTATTTTAGAGAGAAGAGAGATAAGTTAAGTCAATTTAACAATCCTGACAGCTCTCTCTGATTTAAAAGCACACACACAAACTCACACACAACACACTCTCTCCCAACTGTCATGATCAAAGATGCTTTGACAAAGGGGTTGAATTGAACGTTTTTTCTTCTGTCTTTTCCTAATCCTCAAACCTCAAAGAGTCAAATTAAAAATAATTGGCTAACAACAGGCATAACACCAATTCCTGTTACAGTATAAAGGATCCATGAAAAAAATCACTTTCTAAATATTATATACTAAATTTTGATCTTTTAATAAAGATACACATTCACATTTAAGTGTAGTTCCTTCTAAGTGAAGGGAACCAACCACATATTACTGAGGTGAGCCTTATGGTAGAAAAACTCGACATGCCTATGCAGTCACACAGTGGCAACTCAAAGGCAGCGCGAAAGTAAGAGAATGAAAAGGAAAGGCAGATTTTGAAATCTGACTCTCAGGTTAGCTGAAGTTACAAGGCAGCCAAGAATGATTATACACAATCTGCACCAAACAGTGCAAGGCCCCGGGACCTGCCACTAAAAGGGCGGGGAGAAAGGGAGGTTTTACGGTGTAAATATAAATATTACATAATTAACAAATGATAAAGATGCCACATTTTCTTTGCAGAAAAAAATCACAGGTGTTCAGTTTCTTCAGTTATGATTTCTACAGAAAAACTGTAACATATTTGGGACTTAGCTGCAAGTTAACCATTCACACAGGATTTTTCCATAAACAAGGTTCCATATATTCGAAAAAATGAGAGCACTAACTTGATTTTGGAAAAATGGGTTTTTATAACTGCCATTTATGGTATTAGAAAAAAGGAAACCATAGAGAAAATCACTACTATAAAAAAAAGTTCTCTTTTTCTTAATATGAACATTAACACGATATCCGTCATTCAGGACATTTTCTTCCCAAAATTGAAACATGTTCAGACTATAGATTAATCCATGAGATTTAATCATAATTTTTCTTCTTTAATACTAAGAGACAGGTACCTCAGTACCCTTCACCTGACATGTCTAAGCAAAAAACAGAGATCACAAATTACAGTAAAAATGTGCTTTCGATCTATTTTAAGGTAGGTAGATTAGTTTGTCAAAGTCTCAGCCCAGGTCAGTTCAGTTGATCTTGAGCTGTGAACGTTTCTGCTCTTGTTAAACAAGACCCTGGGCTTGTCTGGGCAGAGACAGAAGCTGATTTTACAGTACAGAGAACAGTGTACTACACTTCCCCACAGAGGGGATGGATTAGAAGCCCCTATTAAAAATGAGAGCTCTAGGAACTAAACTTTACCAACCCATTTACCAGGGTGATCACAGCTATTTGTCAGGTGACAGCTTGGTCACAACACAACTGTGTCCTGAGTACGTAAGATTCCATCAGCTCTAAAGGACAGTGAAGGAAGGAGTGTTTTCCAGAATTTCAAACCACAACCAAAAATTAAAACTCAAACTGTGGGGAGATATCTCCTCCTCTGGTTGGGAATCCTCATCACATCAATCCTAAAGAGCCGTCAACTGGCAAAATCTTTAATATATGTAGAAAAGTAAATTGGAAGAGCAAGCCATTTAATAATTCGGGGAAACAGCATGGCCAAGGCCAGTGAGTTATACTTTCCAGTAGAAAAATAATTGAATTTTTTTTGTCCTCCATTTTTTTTTTTTGGTAATGCTCTCTGAGAAAAGTGAATGGCAGTGCCAAATAAGTATTTTCTGTTCTCACTTAAAGCACAAACTTCCCTTTTTAAATGTCTATAGAAGGTAGGAGTCCTTTTAATTTTTGTCTGTTTGTGTTTTGGAATCTGCTAGCAGAGGTTTGAAGATGAGACTGTCAGTCATCTGTGCTTTCTTTACCAAATGGCTAGGGTGGAACAGCATCACAGCAATACTGCAGATCCTGGTAACACAATGGTAGGGCTTTTGTTTTTTCGTGGGGTTTTATCCTCCTCACCCCACCCCCATTTCCAAGATTAGAGGAAAATGACCATCAGGAACCAAAAACATGATTAATCTCTCTAGAAAAAGGAATGCTAAATAAGACTATGATACCGTAACTACCTAGAAATCAAGAACTAGTTTGGAATCATTTACATGCATTTCTGTAGCTTGCCAGGGATTTCAATCACCTTTCTGAAAAAAGAGTGGGCTGATAAATGTGCAAATCCACACACAACTCTGAGAATACCTACTGCCAACATAAAAAAGCAAAGATACTAATTTTTTAAAGCCAAAAATCTGTACTAACACATGTAATTTCTTAATGTGCCTAAGTTAATTTTTGTACCAATTCAATGAATGGAATTGATTGAACTTCCCAACTCTACTAATTATTAAAATCCATCTGCTTATTCTAATGCTAGTCAGCAAGAGCTAGACTCCATCTTTCCAATAAAAATGAGCCCTTATGTAGCACTAGGTCTGAATCCTAAAATTAAAAATATATATATATATATATATATATATATGATTTTTCTAAGGCATACTTCCTACACACAGCTATCAGGGGAAAAAGCTATCAATGTTCTATTCTCTCTCTGAAGTGTGGTTATCAATACAGCATTTTTTAAAGAATATTTTGACAGCTGAGTACATGATCATTTTCCTAATACAGCAATACAATGACAGACCTATCTCAAGTCTGTTTTGGGACATACTTTTCATATCTTATTGGTTAAAGCCCTCGAGCCAGAAAAAGACAAAGGACAATAAGGCCCATCCATAGCTAATTAAATTTTTCTCTATCTAACCTGGGGTAAAACTCATAGTACTTGAATAAGGCCAAAAACAAACAGAAAATGACTGTTTTAAGATTTCGTTCTGCTATTGTAAACATTTGGAAACTCCTGCAATTCCTTCAACTAACCTTTTCTTCCTTGGTGATTAAAAAAAAATCTGATATATAGAATGTCTGGTGAACCTTCCTATCAACACTGAGATTGCAAACTCAAAGTACAGTCCAAACACATTGCGTTCCATCACCTTCAAGAGCCATTTGGTGGGGGGAGGTGGGCAGATGGGTAGGGAGTGGGAAGAAAATATTATCAGGCAGGGGGTCTTGGGAGGGGGGAGGGTAATATAAAGTGCAGTGTATAGGAAAGTTTTGTTATTAAAATTGTGTATACCGTAAAAAGTGAATGCCTCTTTTTTTAACTTGTCCTTGATAATATATCAGTTTTGACATGTCAAACTTGAAAAGTCATTTGTGACAGATACAGAAAGCTTAAATGAACAGTTGTTTTGTACATGTTCCTCTACGATGCCAAATGTGTCAGCTGAAAAAAAGGGGAGCTAATCATCACCTGTCTTCATTCAAAGAGAGGCACAGCTAGGCTATAAAGAAAGTAAAGGTAAAGCAGGGGGTGGGTGCCTAAAAAGTCATCATGCAGTGATGACAGAAACTGCTCTGCCACACCCCCTACCAAGTAAACAAACAGCTGATCCAGGCTCACAGGGCCTAGGGCTGGCTGTCCCTCTCCCTATCCTCCCCTAGAGTGAACTACCATCACAAACTGAAGAGCTTCAAAAGGCACCCAATTGTCTCTACCTAGCAAACAGTGACTTGACCTCTACCTTGAGGGTTAGTTGAGGTAGATCCCAGCAGTATCTTGCACATCACTCCTAGGAGGGAGGTCTACAGGGGCTGGAACACTGGGACCGTTAGGATTCCTGCATTATCTACTCTACTCAGGATGTCAGTTCAGTGAGTACAGATGGGAAAAGGGAGGGAAGATGTTTAACTACAGTTGAACCTTAAACAATGTGGGGTGCCAAACTCCCCATACCCCACACAGTTGAATTCTCCAAAAACTTAACTACTAATAACCTACTGTTGATCGAAAACTTTACCAATAACATAGTCAATTAACACATATGTTGTATATGTATTATATACTGTAGTCTTACAATAAAGCAAGCTAGAGAAAATAAAATGTTATTAAGAAAATCATAAAGAAGTGAAAACATATTTACTATTCATTAAGTGGAAGTGAATCATCATAAAAATCTTCACCCTTGTCGTTGTCCACGTTGAATATGCTGAGGAGGAGGATGAAGAGAAGGGGTTGGTCTTGCTGATTCAGGGGTAGCAGACATGGAAGGAAACTCACATATAAGTAGACCCCTGCAATTCAAACCCATGTTGTTCAAGGGTCAACTGTAATGTCCTACAGTTGGCACAGATAAACACCCTCAGGACAGGATGCTACACGAGGGCAGCACTGGGGCAGAAACCGCTCTAACCTCCAGGAGCTGCCGGCCAAGAGAGTGTTATACTTGCCAGGATGCCATTACTGTTTTTCTAGCCCTCTCAGCAGCACAGTAAGACCAAATAGGGGAATAAACAAGGCCACTCTTTTTCCAAGTGTCCTGGGATGCTGCGATCAGAGAGTGTTCATATCAGAAATTTCAGCAGTAACTAGGGCAAAGATAGGAAGCACAGCACACAAATACACACTTTTACTGTCAAACTCATCTATATGCACTAGAGGGCATAGGTGATGGTGGTTTTAAATGCACAAAAGGAACTAATTCTTGTACTTGATAGAGTTAAAAACAGAGCTTATTAACATAATTCTTGTACATTTTAATCTTGAAAATTCCATGTAAAGCTACATCTGATTTCTTTATTGGTTATTTTAATTAATTTTGCATGTATGCCACAGCATTCTCAGGTTTCTATTCAAGTATATAATAGATTTCTTCAAGGTCTGTTTAAAAAGATTTCCCCCACCTTCTTTAAATATATCTAACCAGCTGGGTACTCAAGCCTACCTTAGAGAGACAAAATGTACTACAAATTTTCTTTTACTAAGAGAGAAGGGAAACAGGTGAAAAGCATAGCAATTCCAAACGTTTCTCCTTAGCATGAATTTAACCTTCCTCCTTACTAGCTGCTGTTTTGGGACTACTGTTAAGGCATACATCTTGAACTTCCACTATCTGAAAGGGACAGTAAAGTGCAAGAAATCTCTAAAGTACAATGAGGCAACCTGTCCTGCAAAACCCACAAACTAAAACACTACCCTCTAAACACGAGAAGCTTGAGGCTGCAAAGCCCAGCCCAGGTCTCTAGCTAAAAATCAAGCATGAAGGCACACTTGGGAACAACAGAGGTCAATGGCTCATCCCTCACTTGGGAACAAGATTTGTAAACTGCAGTCCCAGAGACAACTCCCAAAACCTTTTGAAAGCTTTCATCAAGAGACTTTAGCAGAAATCATGCAGAAGAGACATTAAAATGTAATAGTTAAACATTAACTTTACTGAATATCCATTCACAATTGTGTGTAGAGCCCAAGAACACCACCTTTAGGCCCTGGTATTTGTACCCCCCAAAAAAATTACAAAATCTCCAGGTTGTTTTTTCTGGAAAATCATCAGACAAAAACTCTACCGTCATTTATAAACTCTACAGTCTTTTATATTAGCCCACCTGTTCCATCATCATGACGGTCAAAAAAAGTTCTTGTGATAAACAAAAACATTTCCCATTGCCTAGCTGTCATATACATGGAGGGCAACTGCTCAGCACCCAAAACCGCTGAAAACCATATACTTATCATTTACATATGACCTACTTCTATAGATCAAGAAAACTGAGAATAATGCATTCTTATGTGTAATATAGTTGAAATAGAGATATAAAAAAAAGTGGGGACTCTTAACCCCAAATGACCCAGGTTATGTTTCAGAGGATACTTGAACCTCTTGAAATTGTAATTTAATACTGTGTGTGATTCCAGGGATTTCACCAGACCCTGATGGGTTTTATTAAATCACAAAAAAGGGTTAGGAAGCCTTAAAAGAACAATGAAATAGTTACTTCTAGTGTATATGAATCTGGCCCTGATCTTTCTGGTGGCCAAGGCAAAAATTAAAGCCAACAGATTTTCATTTGCTAAAGCATCACGCTGATTTATCTGGGGGGAGAGGCACATAAGTGCAAAAGTCTGTGAATTATTTATAAAATGAAGCCTGCTGTAGGAACAATAAGGAAACATGACAGACTGTACCTCTAAAGAGGCTTTGGAGAATAGGCAAAGTCGCTCTTTTTTTTTTGAGTTGTAGTCTCACTCTGTCACCTAGGCTGGAGTGCCATGGTACACTCACGGCCAATCCACTGTCAACCTGCTAGCCTCCGGCGATCCTTCCGCCTCAGCCTTCCAAGTAGCCGGAATTACAGGCATGTGCTACCATGCCCAGCTGATTTTTTGATTTATTGTAGAGATGAGGTCTCGCCGCCCAGGCGGGTCTCGAACCCGCGGGCTCAGGCAATCCACTCACCTCAGCCTCCCAAAGGCGCGGAATTACAGGCTGAGCCACAGAGCCCGGCTTAAAACTCATTCTTACAGGTATTAGAAGACCACCCATATTTTCAACAGAAGAAAGTAAATAGCACAGCAGGTAGGAGGCTGCTCCATACTTGGACCTGTGACTCTAGATAAGTCCTTTGACTTCTGTGTACCTTGGGTCCTTCACTCCTAAAACAGAATTAACAGCAGTAAGAACCATAGGGGGATTTATTCATGTGAAGTCCTGAGGCTAGCATATAGGAGATGCTAAAAAATGTTTACTATTTTAATAGCAACATTTGGAGAACTAAATGCTATAGATCCATGAAATAGAAAACATAGTCACATTAAAGACATGTTAGATTTATGCGTTGCTTTCTAAAACTCCCTACTTTCTAGTCTTTTTTCTCTTACTAAGTCAATGAGCAGTATTCAGAAATGAAGACTGATAATTAGTTAGAGGTTTCAATAAGACTCAACAGCCTGGTTAAACTTTTAAATCTAATATTGATGTAAAACTGACCATATTGTCTCACAGTCAAGTAATCTGCTTTATAAAACGCATGATATTAGATTTGATATTGCTCTGGTTTTGCTTTATTAATCAAGGCTAAAGTTCTAAAGGTTTAAAATCCCTGATTCCAAAATTCTTTGAGTAAAGTAGTTACTTAAAATCAAGTGATGCAATTTCCTTGCTCAAAAAAATTATATAGAACAACACATACTACCTACTATCAAAAAAGGATACTATTTTTTCAAAAGAAATAAATAATATCATTGATGTCTCAGCTTCTGACAATTGCATTTTCAGACAAAACACGGTGGAGAATTAAGGATAGTATGTTCCTTTTTGCTTAAAAAAAATGTACTTTAATCTATCACATCTAACAGCTCTTTCCAATCGTGGTAGATTTGGTTCCAAGGCAGAATTGCCAGGAGAAGTATAAGAATTTAAAAACACAAAGATAACTTGTTAGTCCAGTGCACACAGGAGGGTATCCTGCGTGATAGCTGGATAGTGATCCTCTATATTACCAAAATCCCTATTCAGCATAAAGCTTGCTCAGAATTAATCTATCTGAATGAAATACACACATTCAGTCTACTGAGAATTTATCAAATCTTATGGCCCAGGTTTTTCCTTTTTT